CTGGATGTATATTTCGTAAAGGCTTAGCTCAGTAGGCAAAGCATCATATTTTATATCCAGGAGTCACTGTTTTGATAATAATCTTGCAAGGCGCTATGTCTTCATAGCAATTAATCTTGGAAAATTAGTGTAATAATTATTTGTCTATCATGTTTAATTCAGAAATCTTGAGGGGACATTTGTATATATTGGTTACTTATCCAGGAAAACCAGTATGGTAGACTGCCCAATAAGATGTGACCAAAAAAAGTGTAAAATTGGCGTAAATAACAAACAATAAACAAAATACCATAGAAATTTAGAATCTTGTTTTTGAGCATTAAACATGTTGTTGTGGCCCTATTGCTCAATTACAAAAATGTTCACATATTTTTAGCTCACCTGAGCATATGCTCAGGGTGAGCTATTAGGATCACTCTTCGTCCGTCGTCTGTCGTCCGTCGTACGTCGTCCGTTGTCCGTTCACACTTTTCAAACGACATCTCCTCTAAAACCATAAGGCAGATCATAATGAAACTTCACAGGGATGTTCCTTGTGTGAAGCCTTAACAAAGTTGTTCAAAGAATTCCATTCCATGCAGAACTCTGGTTGCCATGGCAACCAAAAGAAAAAACTTTAAACATCTTCTTCTAGATAACCCAAAGAGCTTGAGCTTAGATATTTGGCATGAAACATCTTCTAGTGAGTGTCTACCAAGATTGTTCAAATAAAAGCCCTGGGGTCAAAATTGGCCCCGCCCCAGGGGGGGTCATTGATTTTCCCTATATGCATATAGTAAAAACTTTAAAAAATCTTCTTTTAAAGAACCCAAAGAGCTAGACCTAAGATATTAAGCATGAAACATCTTCTAATGAGTGTCTACCAAGATTGTTCAAATAAAAGCCCTGGGGTCAAAATTGGCCCCGCCCCAGGGGGTCATTGATTTTCCTTATATGCATATAGTAAAAACTTTAAAAAATCTTCTTCTAAAAAACCCAAAGAGCTAGAGCTTAGATATTTGGCATAAAACATGTTCTAATGGATGTCTACCAAGTTTGTTCAAATAAAAGCCCTGGGGTCAATATTGGCCCGGCCCCAGGGGGTCATTGATTTTCCCTATATGCATATAGTAAAAACTTAAAAAAATCTTCTTTTAAAGAACCCAAAGAGCTAGACCTAAGATATTAAGCATGAAACATCTTCTAATAAGTGTCTACCAAGATTGTTCAAATAAAAGCCCTGGGGTCAAAATTGGCCCCGCCCCAGGGGGTCATTGATTTTCCTTATATGCATATAGTAAAAACTTAAAAAAATCTTATTCTACAAAACCCAAAGAGCTAGAGCTTAGATATTTGGCATTAAAGATGTTCTAATGGATGTCTACCAAGTTTGTTCAAATAAAAGCCCTGGGGTCAAAATTGGCCCCGCCCCAGGGGGTCATTGATTTTCCCTATATGCATATAGTAAAAACTTAAAAAAATCTTCTTTTAAAGAACCCAAAGAGCTAGACCTAAGATATTAAGCATGAAACATCTTCTAATAAGTGTCTACCAAGATTGTTCAATTTAAAGCCCTGGGGTCAAAATTGGCCCCGCCCCAGGGGGTCATTGATTTTCCCTACATGCATATAGTAAAAACTTTAAAAAATCTTCTTCTAAAAAACCCAAAGAGCTAGAGCTTAGATATTTGGTGTAAAACATGTTCTAAAGGATGTCTACCAAGTTTGTTCAAATAAAAGCCCTGGGGTCAAAATTGGCCCCGCCTCAGGGTTCATTGATTTTCCCTATATGCATATTGTAAAAACTTAAAAAATCTTCTCTTAAAGAACCCAAAGAGCTAGAGCTAAGATATTAAGCATGAAACATCTTCTTATCAGTGTCTACCAAGTTTGTTCAAATAAAAGCCCTGGGGTCAAAATTGGCCCCGCCCCAGGGGGTCATTGATTTTCCCTATATGCATATAGTAAAAACTTAAAAAAAATTCTTTTAAAGAACCTAAAGAGCTAGAGCTAAGATATTTAGCATAAAACATGTTCTAATGGTTGTCTACAAAATTTGTTCAAATAAAAGCCCTGGGGTCAAAATTGGCCCCGTCCCAGGGGTCATTGATTTTCCCTATATACATAGAGTAAAAAGTTAAAAATCTTCTATTAAAGAACCCAAAGAGCTAGAGCTGAGATATTTAGCATGAAACATGTTCTAATGGATGTCTACCAAGTTTGTTCAAATAAAAGCCCTTGGGTTAAAATTGGCCCTGCCAGGGGGAGGGGGGGGGCAAAAGTCATTGTTATTCATAATTTGTGTATAGTAAAATTTTAACATCATGAAATATCTTCTAATGGGTGTCTTCCAAGTTTGTTCAAATAAAAGCCCTTTGGTTTAAACTGGCCCGGCCCTGAGGGCCTATGTTCAGGTGAGCAACCCCAGGGCCATCATGGCCCTCTTGTTTCAAATTGTTATACATGTATTTTAGGTCTAGCTCAGTGTTCTGAGTTATGTTGGCAGTTAAGAGGTATGGCCAACAAGAGACAGGTTAAGGGTGCGAAGGTGGCACTACAACATAACATTGGTCTCGGAGGGGCTGCTGTAGTTGCTCTATATAGACATGGATTTCCCCAGAAAGCTGCGTAAGTTATAAATATATTATTCAGATGTATTGTTTTTTAGTCTTTTAAGGGTTTGAAAATAATATATTGGTTTTAAGGTTTAAATATTGGTATACATGTAGTTTGATTATTTTCATCTATTTAATGATGAAAGACTGATTTCTGAACAGTAGCAGAGTCGGAATAGCTTGTCATTGTAAGCTGTATGATACCTTCATCAGTTGGTCTTGCTTACCAAATGTTATGATGGACCATGGATAATTTAAACATCTGTTTACATTAAAATGCTTCATGATTCCATTTTATAAAGTGTCAACACATGTGACTAGTAAAAATTCAATATTTGCTAGAAATTTCATTAAAGAATCTTCAGAAGCTAGATTTAGAGTTACATGTATTTATTCTGGTAATATCTTAACTTTTTTCATCAATTTTCAAATTCTAGATCAAGATTACAGGCAATGCCTGCTAGTAGTGTGTCACCAGAGAGCTTCAAATGTAATGTAGTCTTTGATGGAATTAAAGAGATTTTGAAGCAGGTAATTATACAAGTTGAATGGAAAAATATGAAATTTCCAGTATGTTCAGCATTTGGCATAGACAGCATCAGCACTATGAGAGAGCATCAGCAAAAAATTAATGGACATAATAGGTTATTATTGCAGTCTGGTGTAAGTTTTACACATGCTGGAAAGATGGACAACTTTAAATGATGTCATTTTGGTGCCTTTGTTAAATAAATTGCGTGCTAAGAAAAACTTCAGTTTGTCGTTATGAATGAAACTGTAAATTCATTGGTTACTGTAGGAAAAAAAATGCTAAAAGAAATATAAATTTTTGTAAGTACATGTACTCCAATATCAGATTTATATGTACATGTAATATATATGTAAGAAAAAGATTTAAACACTCCCCGTTGTTACTGACAGTAAATATATCAGCTTGGTTGTAATAGTTAATGCTGTAAACAGTTACCCGCAAGTCAGATATTTGGGTCTGTACCAGCAACCAGTATAAGTTTTCTTAAGTTTATCAAGCATTTGTCAATAAAATATAATATGGTACCAACATTTCAATAACATTTGTATCAGGAAGTTGCAAGATTAATGCAACATTGAAAACCCTGCCCCACTTTCAAGCAAATAAAACAATGCTCTTCACCACCATGGCAATTAATCCATGACCTGACACACACCTGTCAGAGGTTTTATTTTAATAAATCAAAGTTAATGACTAGAGATCGAAAATTCACCTTGTGTGATCGTAATTACGAGTAGAATTTAAGAGAACTTTATGCAGAATGAGTAGAAAAATGTTGCCTGCACATTGGATTTAGAAGCTACTCGGCCTTCAGGACCAGTGACTGAAAATAATTTTTCACACCTTATGTCATTATTTATGAGTTCAGAATATCTTTTTTTTAAAAAGGTCATCAACTATTTCATTTTTTATACACAATTCAGGTTTTATACCAAGTGCAGGAAAGGGGATCCCATCTCACAACATTCCAAATTCAGCACATTTCTGTCATAGAGGTACAAAAATGTGATTCTGTTTAATAAACATGAGTTGAGTATTAAAGCAGTTCCTTTATCAACACATACATGTATTTATTTCAGGATGGTGCAAATATGGTAAAGAAAATGAATGGAGTGTTCTGTTTCCAAGTCAAGGGAGACAGTGGTGTTGGGATATGGGTTGTAGATTGTAAAAATGGAACTGGTTCAGTGAAGTTTGGTGGTCCTGCCAAGGGGGATGTTACCATCATGATGACAGACCAAGACCTTGTTGATCTTCTACAAGGAAAACTAAACCCACAGACAGTATGTTTTGTTTGATACAGATTAAAACCGTTGAACACATTGCAATTGTTTTGTGCTAGTGCCTGTTTGTTTGTTCTTCTTATGCCAATTTTGACACATTTTTGGTCATATTTCTATGGTCAATTCACCTTACCTGCTTTCCTGGATAATGAACCAGTTATTACCAGTTTCCCCACATATAACTGACTTCTAATCCAAAATGAATTCTTAATTAACATTCAGAGACAAATGACCATAATAATTATTGTCCAAGATTAGTTGTCATGGAGAATTTTTGCCTCACCTGCGGATCAAACCAGCATGTTTCATTTTGACATTGTTAAACCATATTGACATACAAGCTTTTTTGTCAATGATATATTGGATTTGTATGGATATTTGGGAACTTCTGAATGATAAACCCCACAATGTTTGAACTGTATCTTATAAAGTGCCTTTTACAACCTATTAAATATGGTATATATTTGTATAAGGAATGGAGAGAAAGACAAAGTATGCATGCAAAATTTTATTTTAGGAAAAACTTTACTGCATTAAAATGTATTGCTCAATTACAGGCATTTTTCAATGGAAAGTTAAAGATCAAAGGAAATACTGGTCTGGCAATGAAGTTAAAAGACCTAAAAATGCCAGAGGGTGGAATGAAAGCAGCACCAGCGAGTGGTAACTCAAAACCAGGGTCGGAGTTCAAAGTGGCACCTGTATTTGACCTAATTAAGGCAGAAATTGAAAAGGTAATATTCTTTTTAAGACCTGTATTTTTATGCCCCCGGGCATATAGAAATTGAACCGTCCGTATGTCTTTCCGTCCGGCCGTACGAGGTTAACCTAAAACGGCAAGTTGGATTTTTCTTAAGTTCTACCTGTACCAATGGCTTCATAATTTACACACTTACTAATCTATACAAAGTATATGATCTGGGCAAGTAACATAACTATGGCTTCCATTTGCACCAAGTTATGGCCCTTTTCAGCACTTAGAAAGTGAATAATGGTTAACCTAAACTGGCAAGTTGGAAATATCTTATGTTCTATCTGAACTAACGGCTTAATAATTTTCACACTTACTTGTCAATACAATGTACATGATATTGCCAAGTGATATAAATGTGCCATCCATTTTCCCAGTAATTTCCCTTTTTATCAATTTGAAAATAGGGCCTTGTATGGTTAACCTATTCTGCAAAGTTGGATTTATCAAAAAATTTCACCTAATTACTTAATTTATTTAATGATCTCTTTCATATTTGGTAGATGGATACCTTTATCGGTCCTCAAATTTTTTGTGGCGTTAGGCGTCTCAAGGTCAAGGTCACTTTGTGTAAAAAAATAAATCTAAACATTTCTGCTCATACAGCCTTTATTTTTAAGTTAATGTCTTTCATGTTTATAATAGTCATACCAAGGGAGGTCCTCTTCCTTTTCCTTTAGTAAGGGTCATTTGGGTCAAGGTCACCAATATCAAAAATAGATTTTTTACACTTTTACAGGTGTGTTAACCTAATTCTATCGACAGATGTCTTTATATTTTGTAGGAACATAAAATTGAGGTATTCTCATTTGGATGGAGGTAGGGGTCAGTTGGGTCAAGGTCACCAGTGCTAAAAATAGATTTTTACACTTTTGCTCATACAGCCTTTATTTATTGACAGATTTGTATTATAATTGGTAGGAAGATGGTATTCTTCCTTTGGATGGAGTTAGGGGTCAGTTGGGTCAAGGTCAACAGTGCTAAAAATAGATTTTACACTTTTGCCTATACAGCCTTTATATATTGACAGATTTATTTCATATTTGGTAGGAAAATAACTTGCATGATATTCTTCCTTTTGATAGAGGTAGGGGTCAGTTGGTCAAGGTCAAGGGTACCAATTACAGATTTCTACACGTGATTGGTTTTCTTCCATACAAATTAGCTACTTTACTCTCTAAAGTTAAATTATTGACAACAGTGAGCGCGGGGGCATTTGTGTTTATCAATCACAGATTCTTGTTTATTAATATTTCTTCATGATATTTGGATAAATAAAGTTATTCATTCCAAGTATGACTTTACAATTTCGATAAAATTTCAATATGTAATTGATATTATTTCTAAGGTCATAAGAAATCATTTCTTGCGATCAACGAAAGAATACATCAAAACTGATAAAGGGAAGGATAAAATTATAACCCTTACCTTGATTGAACTGAACTTGATCGGCCTTTTACTGTTGATATCTGTGCAGTCTGACCAGGCTCTTTACTGTTGGTAGCTCAATTTTAGTATTGTGATATTGAAATTCCTTTAAGTTTGAATGTAATCTTGCAAATTCAAAACTGGACACAACTATTATACCAATTCAGCAGGTAATGGGTTAATTCTCTTGGTTAGCATCAATAATATGTTATATGTACCATTAGTAAAGCTTGCAAGCTGCTCTCAAACCTGATAAAATTGATATATCACCAATGTAAAGTTCCAAATTAAAGAGTGTTCCTAAAATTTTAATAGGAAAAGGTTGAGTTACAGGAAATTATATGCTGAGACACTAGTCAGATAACTGTGTTCTTGTTTTAGGATGGAGCCAATATTGTAAAGAAGATGAAAGGAGTGTTTTGTTTCCGTGTGAAGAATGCCCAGGGTAAGGAGGGTATATGGATTGTTGATGCCAAAAATGGTACAGGATCTGTGTCACATGGCGGACCAGGTATTTAAAAACTTTATTACAGAATTATATACCATTATTTTTTCATTGGTTTACATGGATTTTGTATATTTATACCAGGATTTCCAATGAAAAACTCTGGTTGTAAAAAAGGTGAATGTTGGTGGATGGATGGGCAACTGGGCTTAATCAATTTCTTGTAAGCCATATTCCACCTAATTTTTTTTATTGGATTTCAACCAGACTTTTACTGAACAATTGAGATCAAGTGCTTGAAGTGTTTTGTGATTTGATCATTTTTAGCTCGACTATTCGAAGAATATGAGAGGTATTGTAGTCGCCCCGGTGTCGGCGTCAGCGTCCGCGTCGGCGTCTGCGTTGGTTAAAGTTTTTTGTAAAGTCAAATATCTCAATTATTACTTGAGATATTCAATTGAAACATACAATACTTATTTATAGTAACAAGGTACATCAGATAGACAAGTTTGATAACTCTGCCTACAATATTGACAGAATTATGCCCCTTTTTAACTTAGAAATTTTGGTTAAAGTTTTTTGTAAAGTCAAATATCTCAATTATTGCTTGAGATATTCAATTGAAACTTACAATACTTATTTATAGTAACAAGGTACATCAGATTGACAAGTTGGATAACTCTGCCTACAATATTGACAGAATTATGCCCCTTTTTAACTTAGAAATTTTGGTTAAAGTTTTTTGTAAAGTCAAATATCTCAATTATTGCTTGAGATACACATGTATTCAATTGAAACTTACAATACTTATTTATAGTAACAAGGTACATCAGACTGACAAGTTTGATAACTCTGCCTACAATATTGACAGAATTTTGCCCCTTTGGAACTTAGAAATTTTGGTTAAAGTTTTTTTGTAAAGTCAAATATCTCAATTATTGCTTGAGATATTCAATTGAAAATTAAAATACTTTTTTTATAGTAACAATGTACATCAGTTTGCAAAATTGCAGAACTCTGCAATACTGTTTAATTAGACTCTCTAAGGCCTATAACAAGAATTTATAAAAAAAATTAGCCCTTTGTAAACTTAAAAAATTTAACATTGTCAAGGCTCTTTTACTATCAAGCACTTAGAATAGTCGAGCGTGCTGTCCTACAGACAGCTCTTGTTTAAAACATTCTGGCCACATGTACGATATTGGCTGTTTCTTTCCTGTTACTTGTTTGATAAAATATTTTTATTTATCTTTTAAGTTCCCAGTGAGATATTTCAGGTCTATATATTATTATTTTCAGCTAAAGGAGATGTAACTATAGTAATGAATGATGAAGATATGCTCAATTTAATGTCAGGAAAACTTAATCCACAAAATGTAAGTGTTTTTTCCCCCCTAATTCTGACAAAAATCTTCAAATTTATCATTTGCTTATTACAAAAATCTTCAAATTTATCATTTGCTTATTACAAAAATCTTCAAATTTATCATTTGCTTATTACAAAAATCTTCAAATTTATCATTTGCTTATTACAAAAATCTTCAAATTTATCATTTGCTTATTACAAAAATCTTCAAATTTATCATTTGCTTATTACAAACACCTTTAAATTTATCATTTGCTTATTACAAACACCTTCACTTTTTATTATGGACTTGATATGATTATTTCTCAGTAAAACTTATTGCAATGTCTACTTGCAGGCATTTTTCCAAGGCAAGTTAAAGATTCAAGGGAACATGGGGCTAGCAATGAAACTCAAGGAAATTCAACCAAAAGGACAGTCCAAGTTGTGATGTGCTGATATAACTGTGATAATAACATTCTGATGCATGTTGACGCTCTACTGAAATATGAAATTGTGACCAAAATAATCAATCCATTATATGTGTGCTTTCTGTTTGGACATATGTAATATCTGATAACTTAATTGATCAACGACTTAAACTCAAAAATTCCCGAACTTAATAGATCAATAAATTAATTTAATTCTCAAAGTCAAGTCAAAGATTGAAAGAGTCTTGATAATTGAATGCTTAATTTTCATTTCATAGTTATTGTAATGTTGATTGATAATTTACGGATTGCACAAACTAAACTCTTGAAATTTATATTTGTGTGTAAATACTTGTAACAAAGAATTATTTTATAGGCTGAAAGATTTTTATTTCTTTGTTTGATTATTTTATATAGCATGCATCAAATTTAATCAGAGAAAAATTTATAGTGCTATTTATAATTTATTTTTTTGAAGATCATGCATATTTAAATCTTTAGTTAAAATGTCAGGAAGTAATTAGCCTTTCCCACCAGTAAAGAGACAGGCTAGTCTGCACATTCAGGTAGTCTGACCAGGCTATATACTGTTCATAGACTAAATTTTTATCTTGATTTCCCTAAAAATCTATAATGATCAGTTCCCAAAACTTTATGAAGCCGGACAAATCCATTTAAGAAACAGGTTTAGAGTTCATGGCCTAAGACATTATGTCAGTTGATGTACATTCATAATTGATTATACTTGCAGTTTAATTGTATCAGTTGAAATTGATTCTCATATTCATCAAATTGTTCAATATACAAACTCTTGAATAATTAATACATTGATTTAACATTGAAAGTATAATTGATCAATATAAGGATGACTTTTAAAAACTTCTTCCTAGCATGAATAAATGTAGATGTGCTTGACCAGTAAGAATCTTTTTAAGGGATGGTGGGGGAAATAATTTTTTTATATATATTCTGACCTCTATTTATTGTTACATGTCCTCGAAATAAGACATTAATTGTTATGGATTTTGAATAAATAATCAGTGAGTCAATGTGATTTGCTTGTCAGATCATATTTCTGATCTAAATTATGATACTGATGCATTATTTATTAGTGGGACTTGGTTCTATATTACACATTACATAATATTTTTGATTATGACATGTTTAATATGCTATTTTGTTGAATTGAGAAGCATGTATTTTCTAATTTATCAATATTTTTTTTTAATTCAGTTGCCTAAGAATTGTGCTTGATTTTTAAAATGACACATACATTTATTTAAAAAAAAGATCGAGACACTGTTCATCTGTTTGGAATAAGACTGTCAGTCAAGAAAATACTGTAAACAGAATATATAATAGGATTTAAGTTACAATGCCTTCATATTGTTGGGTATATGAGTACTGATATTTAATATACATGTATATGCTTATGATTTATAGAAATTTACATATTTTTGCCTTCACAGACATTTCATATGAAAACAAGTGATTGCTTAAGATATAGAAAAAAAATAAAAAATATAATGAAATTATATTGTTATGTTCATTTATTGTTCATTCATGGACTACATGTATTATTTTTGTCAAAGATACAACAATACAACGCCTTTCCAACTGCATATGCCCAACAACTACAATATTCATGCAAATGCATCTGAATATGTGTCGATGCTATTAAATCGGTCAGATAAAGAGCATTCAATAATGCATTAAGAGTTATCAATTTCTTAAATGCCACCTCATAGAACTATTAAAAATCAAATGTGAGAGTTTAAGGGAAAAATACTACAAGTTTGTATAAATGATCTGTCTGTCAAGAATATAATCTACAGTATTTAACTCCATAATCAGTAGGTAAGCAGGTATCTGTTTTATCACAGACATAGCATGAGCTAGCTGGATAGCTTCCTTATATGTAGCTTTGAAGGCCAAGCGGTAGCCAACTTACCTTTCACTTGCCCCCAATAAGCTGTGAGTTTGAATCCCACAAGAGAAATTTCTTTTAATGAGTTATACCTTTAAGGACATTGGTTTTACTCTGTGACTTCTTCAGCTTGATATAATGTAAAGATTTTTGAGGTCTTACTCCCCTTGTGGCTGTAGGCTTGCCTTTAAGAGTTGAGGCATCAGAATTGCCACCACCATTTATCCCAGCATTATCGTAAGAGTTTATGTATCTTTTAGCTCCATCAGGTGAGGTGGTTTTGATCTCTGGTGTTGTAAAGTTTGTAACACCAAAGGTTAGCCAAAATCATCTTTCCTGTTTTGGCACTATATGACCAAAATTATGTATAATTCTTGTAATGTTAAGACAGTGGCCATTTGAATTTTTTAAATATGATGCAAACAAAAACTGCTTCCTTGCATGAGTAAATTGAACCCTGTAGCTGAATTTACAGCAACAACATTAAAGGTTTAGTAATTGTCATTCAGTAATATTTGAATACTTGGCCACTTAACACATGTGACAAGATTTTATCCTGTATTTGCAATGGAATAATAACAATATACAGCAAACTTGGAGAAAATCATTTTATTATCAAAATATGAGTATACTGTTTATAAAATGTAAAATAAATGTATCACAATATCATCAGTTGATATGTACAAAAAATAAAGCTATAGCAAACAATCATACCACAATCTTATATTATCTCTTGCATAGACTAAAGTTCTAAAACATTTACCCCAAGTTTATTTGTATTTCATATATTTGTTCATGTATAACAATAAATTATAATAGCAAGGTCTACAGATAGGTGGCTTTTTTGCACTATCAAAACAAGAAGTAACATAATTGAATTACTACAAGAAACAAATTGATGAGGTTACTGTAGAAAACAGCTTGAGTGATTGACTGCACCATCCTAAAATCCCATCTTGATCTCTTTGTATTCTAACTTTCTAAAGATCAATCCATGTGTTATAATTAAGGTATGTTTTTTTTTCACTTCATAACAAATATAAGCCAACATAATGAAATAATCAACAAGCAAACCACTGAAAAAAATTCCAATACCTGTAAATTCAGGCACTAAATTAATACTTGTAAATATGTAATTACTCATTAACCTAAGGTTAGTTATTCTATAATAAAACCCTGTAGCATTCTTCAAAAGCAATTCTGATTATACAGCATGTATACATGTATTATAGAATACATTCAACTAGTATAACATGTTAAGAAGACAAAAAAAATGCTTAAAACTACTAGACTTAGTCATGTAAAATGCACAAATTCAAAAAAGCTCATTTATTGCCGTAATACAATTATAAAACACTGATCTATGGCCTTATTATTAATGCACATACTTTAAAAACTGAACATGACTTATTCTTTAAGCTGTAGATTTTCTAATGAGATGATGCTATAATAATGCTTTAAAGTTAAACCTGAGCAGAAATACAATTTGCTATACATAGTGTTATTCACTGACTAGGAATAAATTTGATAAGAGTGTCAGATTTTTATACCATTCTGTGTTGTATAGAACAAAATTGTTACGTTAACAATTTAACCTGCTGGAATGAAAAGTAATTAGCCACCAGAATAGAGCCAGACCAGCGTGCATGTCTGTGCAGTCTGACCGGGCTTTATTCTATTGACAGCTCAGTTTTTTGTATTGAAACACCGAAATCCCATTAAATTCAAGCAAGGCAAATCCATTACAAACATTCAGCAGTTAAGGTTTAAAATTTAGCTGTCCCAATCATTCGAAAAATTGGCATTCATACAATATATTTATATGTACTTATCAGAATTGGGCACATTTGTTAACATATAATTCTGGTGTAAGCATTCATTCTTGTTAATAAAATGATTTGATGTGAAAACAGAAATTCTAAGTTTGACATATAAAATGAAAAATAAGTCATGACTTCACATGATTTGACAGTATTTATCACCTTGTTGTGCATGATACTAATTACCTCAGATCTCAGATATTCAGAACCACTAGACACATATTTGATTCTATCTATATAAATACATTATTTTTGAGAAATAAATCTACAAGGAGTAATACCTCAGAAAATATTGATTAAAGTGGGAAAAAAGTATGAATATACATGTAATTCATTTGAAAATATAAATGTGGAATGATGAAAAAAGTTACAATTATTCTTTAAAAGAGGTCTACCAATTTATAAATCACTACGTTTTGTATTTAACAGTCAACTCATCAATAATAGCAGTCCTCTTGCTGTCTTCCAGTTTCACAATAAATGGATGTTCTACTGCTACCCCACCCACTTCAGTGGGAATGGCCACTCTCATCTGGGCAGCAATCCTCTCGCTAGGTTTCACACTCTCAAGAGTGAAACAGTCGTGTAATACTGTGACAGTGAATAGAACTTCTCTACCTGTATCAACCACACTAAACCTGTAGCAGTTCGCTGACCCAGGCGTCATTCGCTGACTCTCTTTAAAGCCTTTCCCAGGCAAATTACTGCTCTCCACAACGATTTCACCATCAAGTCCTATGAAACATTTAATACCTTTAATATTTTCAAAGTCCATGTATGAGTTTGAACGTACTATAATGCTCAAACCTGTCCGTCCGTCCTCCGGCTGGAGATTTTTACGATTCAAGAACTGCACACGTCCCTGCAATTTGATGTTATCAGTGGGCTTGTATTTAGCCTTTGTGACCATATACACTGCTCGACTTTGTAGTACAATAGCCTCAGTACTAGGTAATATAGAATGGGCCTCCATATGAAATCCCATCTTGACCCATGCTTCTGGTCTGAATATCAACGTATCCCTCATCTCAACTCTAGCATCTAGTTTCTGACTAGACCTGTGCCTATTCTCCCTCAAATAATATTCCAGCTCTTCATTGGTCAGATCAAAGAATGCTTTATGAGGTGGGAATTTGTAACTTGCGTACATCAAATTCTCATGGTAATTATCCTCAATGTCCTTGGGATCCTGGAATACTAAAAGTGAGGCCCGTGTGTTGTCAACTAACCATTTAAGCTGTGGGACAGAATTTTGTATGAATGACGCTCTTGCTTCATATACTATTGGTGGTTCGAGTTCCAACTTATAGACAACATGGTACATGTCTAGGACCATGTCCCAGGTGTATCCACTCTGACTCAGATCTGTATGGTGCCCCGTTGTCCATCCAAGAGATATTGTGCATTCTTTAAACATCTTACGAATGACCTTGACAAACCTGATTGGGTCAACTTTAGGCACACCTCCCCATGGACCCTGAAGTACATTGGCATGAATCCAAACTGGTACTTTCAACTGCAAAAGAAAACCAATCATTTATATTGCATACTTAGCTTTCATGAAATCATTCCTTAACTTTATTTCAGTAACCGATGATTTTCCACCAATATGACAAGTTTTATAATAATTACACTGTTAATTCTAGGCCAAAAAAGTTATAAAACAGTTCAAGTATTTGTATATGTACATTTTGTAAATTGGAGATTGGTTGTCCAAATTTTGCCCCTTTAAAACTTACAAAAAATCTATTTCAATTCCAGCATAGAATATCCTTAGGGTAGCACATAAAATATTTTTCTTATTCAGCAAAGTAAAAACAACTGAATGATGTAAGCCAAAGAGCTTCTTAGAACAAAACACGACAGAAGTACATCAAATCATTTACATATGTACTTTATAACATGCAATTTAATCACCTCTTCCTTCCTATTTTTCAGTTTCTGTAATGTTAGCTCAACAGCATCCATTGCTTGAAAGTCCAGCTTTATTCCTTTAGTGTTAGCTTTAATAACCGCATCCAGCCAGATATCAAATGTGACTTCACCGTCAGTGTCTGGAAACTGGGCCATCACAGGTGTGAGCTCTTGTGTCTTTGTCCCTTGACCCCGCAACATTATATCAGCCTCAACCATGTGTACATCCTCTAAGGATTATATAGAAATTTCTTTTAAACAAGCTGGCAATACAGATAACATCTCTATTCTCTTTATAAACTGTTCTTACGTGTTTAACCCTTACTCCACTAACTATCTTAAATGGACTTGACCATCTTTCAATCTGGACAAAACCGTTTATCATTTTTAGGGAAAAATTTATTAATATGTACTGACTGTAAAGTGAACATTTGATATGTATATGCATTGTACACAAGAATAAATGAAATAATGGAATGAAAGTGATAAAAAAATACTTCATAACATTTAGAATACAGAGGGAATAATTATAATTATACTGCATCTTTTTCTTAATTAAAAACAACACAATTATAGATTAATAATATCTGTCATATGTTGCGGTTCAGATCGGAATACCCGTCCCGAGGGGGCCCAGACCATTGGGCGGTAACGAGGCTTGCAGAGTTACCGCCCATGGGCGGGTTCCCGAAGGGCGGACATTCCAATCCGAACCGCAAACATTGTCAGATATATTTTTTCTCGCATATTCTGCTATTTTTTTTCATATTTAAAATGTTTAACCTAAATAAGATATTTGTTCATGGAAATTAAAGTAATTTCATCCATAACTATTTTCTTACAATAGCGTATGAATTTAGAACTTTAATAACAACGGGGAAATGACGTCATCCTAAAAGCACATAGTTCCCTTCTAAAATGACGTCATTTTAACGTAGCGCATTCATGAAATGCGCTAAAATGACGTTGTTGTATGGCAGGCAACTAATCTGGCACCCCCCATGTCAGATGAAAATTCCGGCATGGGTAAAACTCACGGAAGCGCCAGTCTGCGTTGTAAGAATACACAAGAGTGTTCTTTTCATTACAAAATTGAACTCTTGATTAATAATATCTTAGTATTATCTGCTTTATAATTTTTCGACAAATGTGTGGCATGTACGCCAAATATCATGTAACTTCTTTAATAAATCATCAAGTATTACTTACTACTATAGAGGGCTCGTTCCAATTTCTCCAAGGAATTAACACCACGAGCCCACTTGATGTTTGCACCATCATCATCAGACTCTGGGAAGAATGCTATAATATCTGCATCATTACCAATCTGTAGCATACCCATCTTGCTCTGCATAAATCTTGGTACCAGGCCTTAAATATACAATGTTACAAATAACATATATATATGACATTTTGAATAACAAGAGATCAACTTCTTCATCTAAGTTACATGTAAAAAGGGACGTAATGCCTGTACTGATTTTTGAATTATGCCCTTTGTCTAACAAACGTGCCTTGTCATGATAAGCAAGTATTCCTAGTCTTATGTTGACAACTTTCAAAATGTTTCAATAAAAGTTTTTGCACAACAAAAAATCAACCATTATAGCTTAACCCTTTTTCTCTCAAAACAGACATGCTGAAAACTATGTGTACCAAAGTTATTTTAATTTACTTTTGACTTGAAATACTTGTTCACTATCAATTAAATAATGAATGCATTTCTTTCAGGCATTTTTGTTTCATAATCGACTTTAAATATTTTTACAAATTTCTTAAAAACAATCACACATATTATTTTATTCACTTCAAATTATCAAGGATAGATAATTCTGATAAGCAGTTTTTCAGAATTATGCCCCCATTTATACTACAGTCACGTACTGAAAGAAAAATGGAGCAAGCTGCTTCTCAGGCAGCTGTTGTTTAAATTCAATACACACAACCATGTACAAAATGTAATAAAAGACTCTTGACAATATAAAATTTCATCAAAGTCATGCAGTTTTCCCCAAATCCAAACTTATGCAAAATTTTTACTTTCCAAAACTTGCATTTTAACAATAATCTTGAAATTAAGAGGCTTAGATTTCCAATTAAAATATAAAAAGCCCTGATTAAATATGACAACAGGCTAAATTCATCATTATCTTATTGTCTTGCCACAGACACTATTAATAATGGATATCTCAATTTCTACACAAGTAATTGCAGGGCTCACACTAGCTCAAATAAAATAATAGCCAATATTTTCAACTTAAAAAAATAATAGCCAAAAGTTCAGCGGACTATTCATGAATTAGCGATTAACAACATAAGCAGTTGATTAAATAAACATTACATTTACATAAAACTTTCAGTTTTATAAGGATTCTCAAATAAACTGACACATGTGTGTATATTGATAACTACCTTTTTTAAATAGAACCACAACTTTAATTGTTATTATAGAACAGAATAAAAACGTTATAATTAGTATAATTACTGTACAAACAATAATATTAAAGATTCATTATAACTTTACATAATGCTGTTATCAGACAACTTTTTTGTTTGTTCTAATCAAATTTTGTCAGCTATAACCACTGTCAATTTCCACATTTCGCACAGAACTGGAGTAGATCTAGGTCATATTAGCCTATAGAAATAACACAAGTTTGCAAACTCATTCACAGAATGCAGCCTTTTTTCTGAATAATTTACTGAAAAATATCATCATCACCAATGAAATACAAATTTTCTGCCATAGTTGTAAAGATTTTTAAACAGAACATAGCTTATTTCACCTTTAAATAAATATCAAAATTATCGGTGTCGCGAAAATATGTGACAATCGGATTTGTCCTGTTTTCTGAAGAAATATTCACAATTTTGGTTGTTGTGCAAATAGTTGTTTGGAAGTTTATACTTTTTAAATATTTTACGATTGTTTTTTACTGGCGATTTAGTTAAGTAGCTTATAACAAAAAAAATATCAAAATTTGCAATTGCTGCAATTCACGGTAAATTTTTGGTATGTCAATATCCAGTTTATCAATTTTAAAACGATTTTTGTGGCTAATTGACGGATATTTGATGGCTATTATAAATGCTGGACAATATCTTTAAAGTACTTATACAATTATACATCTCGCATGTATTTTATCACCTCGGGCAATATAGTTAGCAGCACGTGACCGGTAAAAAGTTGACACTCAATTTCATGCACCCCGCTGGTGTTAATTGGGTCTACTGCATTCATTATCGATTTTTACACCTTATATAAACGCTGTTGGAAGAAAAAAATATTCGCCAGATTTTGTAGCCAAAATGCAAAAATAATCGCCAATCTTATAAAATAATCGCAAATGGCGACTATGGCGACCGACAGCGTGAGCCCTGAATTGTACCTATGTGCTTTGAAAAGGCTGAAAGAGAATATCCCCTAGGTACTTGATTCAAACTCATAACGTCCAGATAGGGAGTTACTGCCAGTGGTGATGGTAGTTTTCACTCCAGATAAGTACAGTAAGTCACACTGAATTAACCAAAGCACAGTTCACTCACCCAGTGTTGCATCTAGAATTTCAAAATTATGGGGGATTGTCCCCCACTCAATTGAAAAATGTGGGGGATTTGAAAACAAGAGGGCCATGATGGCCCTGAGGTCGCTCACCTGTATATAGGCCCCCCCAACCCCCGGGCCAATTTTTACCCAAGGGCTTTTATTTGTTTATTTGAACAGACTTGGTAGACACCCATAAGAAGATGTTTCATGCTAAACATCTAAGTTCTAGCTCATTGGCTTTTTTAAAAGAAGATTTTTAAAGTTTTTACTATACACATATAGTTAAAAACAATGTCACCCCTGGGGCAGGGCCAGTTTTGACCCCAGGGCGTTTATTTTAACAAACTTTGTAGATATTTACTTAAAGATGTTTCATGCTTAATATCTTAACTCTAGCTATTTGGGTTTTTTCCAAAAAAGATTTTTAAGTTTTTGCTATACACATAAAAGGAAAATAAATGACCCCCCCCAACCCCCCGGGCGGGCCAGTTTTGACCCTAGGGCTTTTATTTGAACATACTTGGTAAACACCCATTAGAACATGTTTCATGCTAAATATCTCAGCTCTAGCTCTTTGAGTTCTTTAAAAGAAGATTTTTTAAGTTTTTACTATATGCATATAGGGAAAATCAATGACCCCCTGGGGCGGGGCCAATTTTGACCCCAGAGCTTTTATCTGAACAAACTTGGTAGACACTCATCAGAAGATGTTTCATGCTAAATATCTTAGCTCTAGCTCTTTGGGTTCTTTAAAAGAAGATTTTTTAAGTTTTTACTATATGCATATAGGGAAAATCTATGACCCCCTGGGGCAGGGTCAATTTTGACCCCAGGGCTTTTATTTGAACAAACTTGGTAGACATTCACTAGAAGATGTTTCATGCCAAATAACTAAGCTCTAGCTCTTATAGTTCTTTAAAAGAAGCTTTTTTAAGTTTTTACCATATGCATATAGGGAAAATCAATGACCCCCGGGGCGAGGCCAATTTGGACCCCAGGCCTTTAATTTGAACAAACTTGGTAGACACTCACTAGAAGATGTTTCATGCTTATTATCTTAGCTCTAGCTCTTTGGGTTTTTTAAAAGAAATTTTTTTAAGTTTTTATTATATGCATATAGGGAAAATCTATGACCGCCTGGGGCAGGGTCAATTTTGACCCCAGGGCTTTTATTTGAACAAACTTGGTAGACATTCACTAGAAGATGTTTCATGCCAAATATCTAAGCTCTAGCTCTTATGGTTCTTTAAAAGAAGATTTTTTAAGTTTTTACTATATGCATATAGGGAAAATCAATGACCCCCGGGGCAGGGCCAATTTTGACCCCAGGGCTTTAATTTGAACAAACTTGTAGACACTAACTAGAAGAGATGTTTCATGCTTAATATCTTAGCTCTAGCTCTTTGGGTTCTTTAAAAGAAGATTTTGTAAGTTTTTACTATATGCATATAGGGAAAATCAATGACCCCCTGGGGCGGGCCAATTTTGACCCCAGGGCTTTTATTTGAACAAACTTGGTAGACATTCATTAGAACATGTTTCAAGCTAAATATCTTAGCTCTAGCTCTTTGGGTTCTTTAAAAGAAGATTTTGTAAGTTTTTACTATATGCATATAGGGAAAATCAATGACCCCCTGGGGCGGGGCCAATTTTGACCCCAGGGCTTTTATTTGAACAAACTTGGTAGACTCTTACTAGAAGATGTTTCATGCCAAATATCTAAGCTCTAGCTCTTAGGGTTTTTTTAAAAGAAGATATTTAAAGTTTTTTCTTTCAGTTGCCATGGCAACCAGAGTTCTGCATGGAATTAAATTCTTTGAACAATTTTTAAAGGTGACCACCAAAGGAACATTCCTGTGAAGTTTGGATGAAATTGGCCTAGTGGTTTATGAGGAGATGTCATTTAAAGTAAAAGTTTACGGACGACGGACGGACGACGGACGAAAAGCGATCACAAAAGCTCACCCTGTCACTTTGTGACAGGTGAGCTAAAAATGAGGGGGACATACATTTACCCTACAATATGACATATCGAATAGAATTCATTTATTTTACATTCAGGCATTTTTGACAGCTATCGTCCGCTCAAAAACGGAAGTAGAATACTACAAAACACACGCGAGATGACTCAGTCGGCTGCTACACGCGATTTAGTATGTATTTTAGTCATAACCACAAGTGAAAACAAACATGGCTGAAGCGTTCAAGATACGATGAAAATAAACTGAATTAAGTTGAAAAGATTGTCAGATGCGCGACTTGACGCGCACTGACTTCATCAAAATGCGCGATCTGCATAAAAAATGCGCAAATCGCGTGGCCTAGATGCAACACTGCTCACCACATTGTTCCTGGGCATGCTGTCTGGCAAATTACCAGTACTAGTTGCCTTCACTTTCGCAAGACACTGATAACTTCTGTACATGTATGCCAGAGCAGTGTTAGTCACGTACAGTGTGAATGATTGTAGTCCAAATATTTAAATGTAAACTGCAGACTTGAAGCTAATTTTTACAATAGTCAAAACCATTTTGACTTAGCATTTAAGTTCACATTTTCTGATAAAAGTAAAACTGTAAAACACAAATTCAAAGTCTTTCAATTAAGGACAAAAATTTTTTATAATGATTGTAGACAGGATTTCATTATCAATCACAACTTTAGTGACCTGCAATGTCCGGGAATCAAACCCGAGTCAACCAATTCACAACCCAATGGACTAATTATTGAGCTAACCTGATGGCTATGGGAGTTATTGTCAGGTGTCATAACAACCTTTATACCACTCTGCCTCCACAAATAAACCTAGCCTAATTAATTTGGCGTGAACGGTTTGACCCATTTTACAGACTTTTTTTTTATTACTGTCAAACCGGAAAAAAGACAGCGCCCGTCCAAAATTATCTCGGTGTCTCTTTGACAAGTCTAATTAGTTGGACTAAAATAAACCCATTAACTAATGAGTCACAGCTCAGTTCGAGTTATGAATTGTAATGAATTTGACTTCTTTAAAATCTTTATATTAACTAAAAACGCTATCATTTTAAATGAAATTTCATTTTCCAGAATATTCCATCGATAGGAATCACATCTAAATTTAGACAGGTAAAAAATATACCTCCATTTATGTAAATCCACAAGAAAAGAGCAACTGCAATGCATACAGTTCTTTGGACAAGATGCTTCTTAATTTGAGGGTTGGATATCAATCTTCCAATGATTTCGGCATCCTTTTTGGGGTTAACTTCATAATGCATTGAATTAAAAAAGTCTTTCACGTCTTTCATGTTTGTTTGTTGCTGTAATATATCTAATTGTATGGTTTACTCTTTTTGTTTCAAGAAACAACCGAATGAAAGATAAAATGTAAACCAGTCAAAAATTAGCAATGAATAAACTCCGTATTAAACGTATGTAATCGTATTGTATAATTATTCTTCCGTAACATTCCGCATTCAATATCATACGTGTTCATACATAATTATTCGAATAATAAAGAAAAGATTATTCACCATGGTGACATACGCGTTCCTGGTATTACGTAAGAACACATTTCTGTTAATTAATCCGCTGAATAATGTAGTTATTAACATAATATTTAATTTATCATATAGAGCTAGATTCTACTTAAAAAGTGTTTTTTTTCTTCATTTATTCGTCTTAAATATGACGCTCTTTATACGTTTGTTTAATACAAATTTATGACATCACATCAGAATATATGCATGTCTGTGCCATATCATCTTTACGTAGAGGTCAAAATATGCAAAAATAGCCCTTACTAGTCAAGCAGTAGAAATATGATAATAAACACTGCAAAATCTGTCAAAAGTCGCTCATAATTAATTTAACATGTACATTATTACTTGAATCTTTTTACATTTCTTAAAATATTAGAACACTTTTCTCAAGTTTGATTTTTTGAACAATCTGCAAAGGATAGTAATGTAATATACACAGAATTCAATTGAATATCGTTTTTTTTCTGTGCTTTTTAGCTGGGTTTGAGTGAAAAAAAAACGTTGCAACGCTTTTCTTTTTGGGTTATTTTGCAAAATGATTCTTCTGAAAAGAGTGAGTGAGTGACTGATCTGAAAATTTGCACACAAGTTATACATGTAGGTCCAGACCTTTATCAAATGGTACACATCTTTGGAAAATATTCCCAATCCCGTCTTGTAAAAAAATCTCAGTGGAGCCTCTTTAATGTTAAATATTTAAGACTCGTTCAAAACAATAGGGAACTCTTATTTTGAGCAAGACAAGTCAATTTTGCAAATTTTGCAATGAAATGTTGAAATATTAAACTTTTAAAAGAGCTGATGTCTCTGTTCTTTTATTGATGACCTCCTCCGACAACAACAAACAGTACAAGAGTTTAATAAGACGTTTATTTTTTTTTACAAATATAAATCTTTTGCATTACAATGTGAAGAACGAAGATCATATAGTTTACTATGGATATTCTATAACTGAGTGAAATATGTCAGACAATCATAAAATAATAATAATCATAAAAATAAAAATAAAACAAATAAAGAAATTGTGATCAATTGTAAAAATAATTAATTTATTAATTTCATTAATTTATTAAGTATAGGATAGTGGATGAGTGTCGGTTCAATACTGGATTTATTGAACGAGATTACCAAAATTATATTACGCGAGCCTATTTCAATAAGTCCACTACTGAACCTAAACAAAATATAATATTGAATTCTATTATCATATACCTAAAAAGAACCATTTTTTCAGAAACAAAATTCATTTTTTCATTGACGCACCTACAGTACAACACAATCATTAGCACGCTTTAAATAACGCTGGCAAATGAATACCGTTTTTACGGAGTCGTGAAAGGGACACGAGTATGTGAGTAAACTATATTTACTGCAAATAATTTCTAATCAAATATGCTATGTAAACTTAATTATTTATTGGCAAACATATTATATTATTTGAATCAAATGAGATGTTCTATTAGTTCTAGACTTTCTTTGGTATTGTCTTTCTCTGTTAGCTTTAGATCTGCCACTAACAACTTTAATTTGACGCCCAACAAAGTCCTCCGACTTCTTCATTTTGCAAGAACTGAGAGATCCATT